TAGTAGCAGAAGACGGAGCTGCTCAGAGAAGAGACTTGCCTGACATCCTGCCTCGCCTCCAGGACACGGCAGGTCCCCCTCCTTCCCTGTGCTGGTGCTCAGGTGGCTGCTGCTGTCGCTGTGCAGACCAAGGAGAGAGAGCACAGGAGAGCTGGCATCTGCAGGAAGCAAGCGAGAAGGGAAAAACGTGGCACTGGAACAGGCCTGGTAAAATTAGACGGCCCTTGCACGTGGCAGATAATACTTTATTATCTTCAGGAGGAAATTCAGCCCCATAAGCTAGTGCTGGAGATCCTCCAGCCCAAGCATCCCTGGTTTAATGAGTAAAAAGCAGCAGCACAGGCTGACTGCCAGTAGCAGCAATGTGTCAGGAACCAGTCAGACATTTTGTGGCATGAGAATGCAGCACTAGGGTCTAGCTTAGGAAAAAGTCACAATTCCAAAGAAATGTAATTTTTTGGGGGGGTGAAAAGCAACCCTTAGGTACACCTTTGGCCCATATTCCCCATGCTCCAAAGCTGTATTTACATCTACATGATGTAATATATCATGTCTCCTACTCCACATAAAGTGACTTTAGCTCCCATTTTAGCTCCCCCTGCCCATCTGGACCTTGCCGGCAATTAATTCTTCCTCTCTAAATCACCTCTAGAACACAAGAGTTGTAGAAGCCCCATTAAGCTTGTCTCGTTTTATTTCATAAACCTGAACTCACCTGTGTTCTTCTTCCAGCAACTGGAATGCTCCATACCCTTTACATCAAAAAACTGGGCAAGATTCTCTTTGCATCTTCTCAAATGTGTGGAGTTTGGCATTTGGTGATTTTTTTTGTTGTCGTTACTCTACTTTCCTGAGCCAATTATTAGGGAACAGGGAAAAAAAAGGGAAAAGAGGGAAAAAGGAACATCTCACTTTGCTTTCTAATCAGCTTTCCCACCACTGATGCTATAAGCTTGAGAGAGCCAGCACTGCTCCAGCATTTGCTCTGGCTAGCTGTCGTCTGGGGAGGAAGGAGCTTCTTCTTTCATACTGGCTCCTGCTGTGGACAAGCTTCTCGCTCACGGAAACATCACCAGAAGTCAGAGCACCCCAAGACTGGCCTTCTGGAAGGAACAGATACTTGGCTAGTTTTGGGGTTGTTCTGGTTATTGTGAAGGTAGTCCACCTGTGTATTCATTATGTATACAAATCAACCAAGTTCTGCCAGATCCTTCAGACTGGTCTGGCAACTTGGAACTGGTATTATTTTTCCCCTGACCTTGTCCTTACCAAAGGGGTCTTAGCCACCTCTGACACTTGGTACATGAATCCTTACACATCAGTATTTCTTGTATCACTGCTATTTTTGAAGGGACTAATTCAAGCCTTCAGTAAAGTGCATTTATGTATCACAATAAAGCAAACAATAATGCAAAGTATGACAGAGAAGGAGAAAAATGGTACAAGAAAAGAAGGGGGAAAATACCCAGCATGCTAAGGAATCAGGTCTTTCAACACCTCAAATTAATTGTGCAGTTGCCTCATTTCTCACATTCCTAGCATCAAAAAAATTGTTCCAAGACTTTGAACTCCCACTCAGTAAAAGAAGAGCCTGAAACGTTTCAGTCGTCTTAGAATTTGCAGCAGATCTCTTAATAGAACCTGATGCTTTTAAAAATTTTTCTGCACAATGCACAACACATTTAGTAGCTAAGCTTTATTCATAGGCCCAACAGCAGCAGATCGAATGTCATTCCTTCCTCAAGTCCCCTACCAATACCGCTCTTGACAAGGGTAGGAAAGATGTACTGGGACAAGGTGATGTGCAAAGTTTCATTATATCGCACTCAAATTGCTTTTGTCCAGACCTTAGAATAAAGATTACTCAGCTGAGCAAGGGATGGCAAACTGGGCTCTGAATGCTCATGACTGACATAACCCTAAACCACTTTTTACATGCACCAGGCCAGTGCTGTAAGCGCCCTCCTAGGGTTCTGCTGCCTCCAGTACATTGTTTTACTGGTGTATGTTGGAAACACTGAGAACAAATCAAGCAAGTAGAAATGCTTATAGCATTTGTTACTAATTCCTGATGCATTTAGAAGATTTTTGTTCTGCTTGCAAGCAGTTGAACCAAAGTCCGCAGATTAGTTACTAAACAGCTGCAGAACAAGTTCTAGATTGTGTTGTTCATGAAACTTTTTTTTTTTTAAAAAAAAACACCCAAACAAACCCCAAGAAGTATCCACTATTATTTATGCTGTAGGATTGAGTCATCAGGTTAGTTACATGCAATAAAAACAAAACAAGCCTTTTGCCTTGGTCTGTGCGTAGAGCTGAACATTCATGCACAACTATTCTCCAAATGTTGGAAAAAAATGAAAAGCCAATTACGCATCTACTAAGAATACAAGGAATAAATTGTGTTGGCATGGCCAAATAAAAGAAAAAGCACTCATTCTTCAGTGTTTTGCTCTCTGTAGTTAAGCTGGCCATCTGATACACTGAAATAAAGCCTCTCGTATACAAATACTACTAGAGAGGCTCCCCAGTGCAGCAGAACTTGCTCATTGTTTGAATATAGGAGTTGACGCTACACAATGAAAAGTTTCAGCTACTGAAACTCAGGATTTCCTGTCATTACAGTAGAATGAGGAATAAGTTTTTAACAGTCTTGTGCCTGTCCAAGATTTGGAACTCCTGGGACAACAGCTCAGTTCAAGTATTTAACTTCTGGCAGGGAAATCACAAAGTTAGCATATCTAAACTCTTAACAGACATGACAAAATTGGATCTTCACAGGAATTTCACCTGCCTCTTGAGAGCCAGGCTGTATTATACACTGTTACTGATACACAACATATACAGGGCACTTGCAGTTGATTTAGCCAGAAAATAACTATTTTAAAGAACGGCAAAAAAGCAACAGAAGTATTTTACCTGTCTACAATGTCTTAAATGACAGTCAGTGCCTTCACAGTAGAAGAGTTGTACTGTGTTCACATAAGATTAGCATACAAATCACCAGCCTCTAACTACTGAAGAGGACGTAGAATTTATCCTCCGAGTTTCTGTAATCCAAGAAGGGGGAAGAGCCAGGGATGAAGCATCTCATCTCCTTTTGGCCTGTTTAAGAAAAGTATCACTGCCACAGCTAATGAATTTACTGACAGCCATATTAACGGAATATGACACAGATTTCAGTACCACATCTGATCCTGGTACTAAAGGAGATAAGGCAGCATAATTAAAAAAAAACCCAAAAAACTCATCAGGACTAAGTTTCTTCTTGTAGTAACAGACATGCACTAGCTACTGTATTTGTCATCTGAAGATCAGGCGGCTTTCTAAGCCCATGCACCAACCCTAGGGACTGCTGCTTAGAATCAAGAACACGTAATCTGGAGTGCACCTTGAAAGTATTTCAAGAATTGAGATCAGTTGATAAGAAAAATAACAACCTGAGGGAAAGTTTAATTCACTTCTGTCCATTGTGATGTTATTCCACGGTCCATCAAGTATCTTGTCCCTTCTACAACTTAAGATGAATAAAGTGCGTAACAGAGACCTTGCTTCCAAGATTACAACCTTACAGACTACTCTGAGGCAAACACCATTTTAGTAACAGAGGTTGTGTGATTTCATCTATTTACAGGAAGACTGAAGTACTTGCTTCAGTTCCTCTCTATGCTCCAATTAACACTACACACTGACTACTCAGTTACACCCAGGAATTTTATTGACTTTGTCTTACTACACTTCAGTGTTAAGCTGTAGCCTTAACCCCTCACGCAGATCCCATCATTCTTAAATGAGGCTAAAGATCTTTACTACTTTCTTTGATTTTGTGATATTACTCATTTTATAGCAGAACTACAACCTGCTGGTACGCAAACTGAAGCATGGTGACTCTCTGAAATATGAACTTCTATACACATGCTGTAACTCAAAAATGTAGCGGCTAAACAAAGCTCACCTAAAACTGCGTATTTAAGTACTTAAAAGCATTTTAAAGAATTAAACCAATGAAATCTTCATCTCAATGAAACAGAATATTTCCTTCAAGGTAATAGGCCTAATTTGTTTCTAAGTATCTATTTTTTAATTTAAAGTCTACCTCCAACTTCTTCCTTGGAAGAGGAGATGGCGTTTAATTTCTCACGGGCGTTTTTTTGTTTTAACTTATTGGGACAACCAATACAATCTGTATTAGAGATCAGCCACCTCTTATGAACAAGGTGGTCCTCTTAAGGTTTATTTCAAGGAACTGCATTGCTAGAAATACGCATATTAACAGCTACTGATCCAATGCATGGATGTATCAACTTTGGCTAATACATAATCAGCAATTCATTAAAGGTGCAAACAAAACCCTACTCACCTTACACTGTCTCCTGGGTTCCTGTTACATACTGGAGACAGTTAATGATCATATTCAAGAGCTCTGGAATTTTCTCTGCTTAGTTGCGTTCACAGTAACAGTACTCCCTAGAAACTTAAACCTCAGTTACATCAGAAGCTGCCTTGGACACTGCTCTTAATGTAAACTAGCTTCAGTTTACCAGACTTTGTCACTAGATTTCTTGCAGCAAGGATAACAAGACCCGGGCTAGAAGTCAGACAGGAGGTTACCCTAAAACTGCAATGAAATCATGCTTTGGGTTCCTAAAGACGTACAATCAACAGAGTATTTCAATTGGAAGATTGAGCCGTATTGGTATCCATACAGCAGAAAGGCAACAGAAAAATAGATTTTACGATACCCAATAGCAGCAGCCTCAAAATCATGTTAATTTGAGTCTTCTGTCCTCTTATACCTCTGTAGTTCAAAAATATGGAAGCAGACAGTAGCAGTTGCATAGAGCTGATTTTTTGGGGTGACTATCACCGTTAATATTGACTAAATCCCTGTACAAGTGTTCAAGTTGACTTCTCAGGTAGCCACCAACAGAATCTGTGATTCTCCTGCTAGAACACATATTGGTTTTCAGATGTGGATACAACTATGAAACAGACATGCATGCTTTTCAGGCAGATCATATTTGTTTTATTACAATTTTTGTAACTATTAGTATTTTCATATCTGGATATCTTAAAGGGAGTTTTAGATTCACAACTTCAAAAGACACTTACAGAATTGTATAAGTCTTGATGACAGCTACACTACTGCACTGTATACAGCTTTGTTGCCCACCTTCCATGGCCCGCACTACATAGCTCCAAACAAGTGAAAATCTGAGACTGATGTTCACATTCAAGCTGCATGAAAGCTCACTAGTGGTAACTTGCAGTTCAACTATTTCAGGAAACAAGAAGAGCATACACAGAACTATACATTTTATCATTTTATTAGGAATAATTCCAAGTGGGTTATGAAGAAACTAATCCATTGAGTTTGATGAATTTTCCAAAATTTCTTTATGAAGATATGTTCACCAACAAACAGTAAAACTTCAGCAGAACTATTATACACTGGGCAAAAATAGTCAGGCTGATACCAAAAAGCAACATGCAACATAAAAAAAAAAAAGATACAATAGAAAGGAAGACAATCTGCTGAATATTAAAAACAACCTCAACATGAGCTCTTCGCAACCAGCACAGAACTATTCTACCCATCAAATCCAATTCACACAAAGGCAAGTTGGGCTGACAGACCCAAGGATTAATAAAATGTTCCTCAGTGCAGTAGATTTGTATAGTGTTTTAGAGCATTTCCTTGGCTGGAACAAGCAGTATTAGGAATTCTTTTTGGCAAGGGAGAGAAATAAATACATACGGAATGCTACATTTTTAAATCAGCAGACTGTCTGAGGAATGAAACAGGGCATCAGTAAACTAAAAGTAGCAGGGAGGAAAAAAAAATTAAAACATTAATTTATTTGGGCTCAAGAGAGTATTCAAAACAGATCTGAAAGATGTCACAATAACTATATTCAGGCATTTAGACTAACAAGGGCAATAAAATCAGAAGATACACTTTTTCCAAGTTAAGGAGATTTTTACCCAAGCATATTGCTACCTTTGCAACATGTAGCTCGGTAAACAATAATTGGCAACAAAATAAGTTGAAACGCTGTAATATTCTGCCCAAATATCAGTTCCAGATACTGTAATAACCAAGATGCAAACTAACTCAGTTGTAACAAGCCTAGACCACTTATATCAAACATGTCCCTGGTGAAAGAGTCATCCAGTTTGAGTTAGCGTTTTGAGAGTTCATTTGACAGCCAGTCAAGTCCCTCATACAGACCAGTTCCTTGCGTAGCACAGGTAGCCTGGACATACCACTGTTAATGCAGAACACAGACAAAGATTATATTTACATAGTGACAAAATGCATTTTAAGTTATCACAGTATATGACACTCAGATACACACTCAAACAGTGGTCTTCAAATGCTGTTTTGTGCTATAAGTAGAGTCAGTATTGAGCAAATAGGAATTTTATAAGTTTTAGAAAGTATATATAAGTAGATGGGATTCAGATGTTATTCAAAAACTCGTTGGCCTACCAAATGCTAGAACACCGTTTAGTGCATCAAGAAACAAGTAACAGAACTTGCTTTTAGTTCAGATGCTGAAAACTAGCTTCTTGTTTCTGAAAGACTGCTCTTCTTGAAATGGACGCGGAATTCTCTAAATTAACAGACCCCTAAAACGTCTTTATGGATACGATCTTAGTGTATCCACATACAGACATTAAGTGAGTATTACAGAAGGATAGATGGTTTATGTGAAGCAACCCTCTGTCTCAAAGGCTTGTGCAGATGGAATCTAACGATTCAGGAGCTACTTAATTTCCTCCCATCTTTGTAGCGGTGAGAATGCAGAATGCATGTTCTCCCCCAGAATAACAAGTATTGGGAAAACAGGAAAACCCACCATATACTATGTCAAACACGTTTCACAGCTATATTTCAGTGACAGACTGAAATACTTGTATTTTTCCACAAAAAGGTGAGAGATAAAACAACTGCAACAGCTGTACACATTGGATTATACTTCTAAATCACTTATTTTTAACAAGGACCTTAAACTATGCACTACAGAGTTTAATAGCAGGTATGTGCATCTTTCTACAGAAAGAGGTGAAAACTTCCCTTTCCTTTAAATGGAAGATTGTGTTTATGACCTATAATAAAGGAAGACAAGAGTACAACAACCAGGAAGTTTAGCACTTACAGTTCTGTTACGCAGAGACTGAAGACCTAGTTTATCTGTCATTTCACTGATTGCCATGGCATTTGGCAGATCTTGTTTGTTCGCAAACAGAAGCAGCACTGCATCTCGCAGCTCATCCTCCTGAAGCTAACAGAAAAAACGGTCATGTTATTAAAATAGTTTAGTACTTCAGTTAGTTCACCAAGCACTAAAGAAGTCTAAATACCAGTTTAAGGGTTATAAACATTTTCATTCTTGCTCCTGAAGTCATGAGTAAGTACTGAGTGAAATTTAACTAGTAACCCACAGAACCTCTCCTACAAGTAAGGAAATAGTCTTTCAATAGGCAGTTTAAACATATCAGCAGCTTGCTGCTGAAATTCTTCGTATCAATTTGTTTTTCCAAAATTCTTTATTAATCTGCTGTGTTTCTACTAAGGTTTTATGAAGGAAAGGTAGGTTCTGACACATTAGTAGTTCTAGAGCTAAAGCTCTCTACAGAGTTGTAGTTGCAACTCAGTGCGCTATGTGACCCAGAATTACCAGGTGAATACAATATGCACTGTAAAACTCCCTAAAATTTTAAAATCCTAAATCTCTTAGGGAAGCTGACATACATCCAAAACTACGACAAAGTATAACAATCAGATTTCAGAAGGTTATCGATATTTACCATTTTCTGCAGCTCTTCTGCTGCTTCCTGGATCCTCTCTCTGTCATTGCTGTCTACCACAAAAATGAGGCCCTGTAAGAAGTTAAGCAGTTTTGAAAACCCAGTGTAAACATGCAGCACTATTATAAAAACAAAAACCTCATACTGAATATTGTGACTGTCCCCTCTCTTAAGTAAGCAAATTTGACAGGAATTTCTGTTTAAGCAACACAAGATGTCTGAACAAGTAAGCAGTAAGTTTCAACTGCAAAATAAAGCTAGGCCTTCTAAATTAAAAAGTTAAACAACACAAATGTCAGTTCATAGATTAGTGTGGGATTCTTTGGCTGGGGGTGGGAGAGACACCAGCAAAATTTCAGAACTTCTCTCTCCCTTTTCACTCCTTGTATCATGTTAAATGCAGCAAGAGAATCACAAGTGCTTCACCATCTCACATTTCACTGAAAAAACCCACACTCTTAAAAGTAAGGTGTGAATTTGTTTAAAAGTTTGTACCAAACTGTATTTATAATGGTATCTCTGTTATTAAAGTGTCCTCCTTCCACACACTACTTTCAAAATTTTAGTCTGAATGCCTTACATTTTGTCATTCTCTAAGAAAACAGAAGCATCTTTCAAAAATATTTAGTAACAGGGCTGAATAAGGAACTGAAATTAAGTATTACTCTATTCACAACAGTACTTTGCTAGCTCCTTTTCATGAATCCAGACTTCTCCATTTGTCTGCACCAATCACATGCATTACACTGCACAGAAGTTTCTTGGAAACAACTGAAAAGTCAACACAGAAAAAAAAACCAAACCAAAACTAAAAACAAACCTCTCAGTCTCCTGATACAACTTACCTTACTACCTGTGAACCAAAGGAAAGAATCACATTTACGTCACCAAAAATTACAGCAATCACATTGCTAGGAAGTAGAAGCTTTCTAATCAATCGGTAACAGTATCTTTTATGACATTTTTAGATACTCAGCATACTAAATACACTGATATAACACAGCAAAAGCTGTGTATTTTAAAGCTGATTAGAAAAAAATAATACACAGAAGGATGTTTAAACAATTACATTTTTAATATATAAGCCAGTGCCAGTTCAAACAGATCAAAGCATGGACACAGCAAAGTTGAAGGGTTCCTCACAAACCAACCAGCTGCTCTGGCACATTTCAGAACACTGGCAGATCCTAAAGGACTTCATCCTCGCCAGGCTACACTCACGACTCGACTGGAAGCCTTCAGGGTAACAAATCAGCTTCAACTAGAATAAAATCTGGGCATCCCTTAGAACTTGCAGGAAGTAGCGAGAAGCCCTTCTGAAAGGAAGGGACAGAAGACAACCTTCCACGTATAATGAGACTTTACAAAACAGGTCTTTAACGACTGCCATCTCAGAATTCTTACCTGTGTGTTTTGGAAATAATGCCTCCAAAGAGGTCTAATTTTATCTTGACCACCAACATCCCAAACTGTGAAACAAATGTTTTTATATTCTACTGTTTCCACGTTAAAACCTGAAATAAGAGAGTCAAACAGTTAGAAATAGTTAATGCTAATACCAAAGTGTTAATTCTAATCATAGTAAAGATAGTTATATCCCGAGTTATATTTCGCCCAAATATATATAAAATGGCTTATCAGAATTACTAGATCAAGAAGAAAATTGACTGAATAGAAAAAAAAAAAATAATCAAATCCAAGTACACCACCTTTGGTTTGGCAAGAGTTTCAGCCACAAACAGCCAGAGGTTCATGGTGTTCGGGGGAAGTACTGCTACCTGACTTGCTCCTATACTCCTGAGCATCTCCTACTGGGCACTGTCAGACACAGGATTCTGGTCTAGATGTATCTTTGGTCTGACACAGCTACGTTACGGCAGTGCCACAAAGCCCATGTTTGTCTTGATTCTTACACTAACAGCAAAGACAGCAAATTCCTACACTCTTCAGAAGCCCACCTGTACAACACAAATTTAGAGCAACAAGAATGAAAATGTAAGAACTGGTTATCTTACCAATAGTGGGAATTGTGGTGACAATTTCTCCTAGCTTCAGTTTATAAAGAATAGTTGTCTTACCAGCAGCATCCAAACCAACTAGAATAAACAGAAAATTTGATTTAGTTCAAAATATGAACTACAGCCTGCTAATTTAAAAATATGCCATTTTACATACAGAGCATTTGTGGGGTTTTTTCTGAGAAGAAACACGTTTTTAAACACTCTTAAGTCACTGTTGATATACTACTGTATGTTTCTCCCCATCTCCTCTACCCAGTGCTGAGACAGGGAACAAGCAATGAAGAAAACAAGCTCAATAACACACTTCCATCCACAAACTACAGGCTCACAAGCTTCTAGTCATCTTCCTTAGTACTTGTATGACTTACATTAAGTTTTATCATTCACTTTGAAAGTTTCTGCTGTGTAAGTATGGATGGTTTTAAATGCCTAGCAACAACCTATAAGCAGCACTCAGTTTCTAACTGATCACGTTTGCTACTTTGCAGTCAAATCGGGGAAGGTCTCGCTTACTCAACCTTCAGCTACGGCCAGTTTCACATGCACCTCAACCAACGGGAGCTGGCACTATAAGCGGAAGGCACTTCAGTCTCCCTCACTCCAGCCTCTTGTCCCTTTGCCAAAACATTTCTTTTGCATTGACAAAACAACATACATTAGTCATCTCCAGTAGTCCCTCCGCATCTACCCCAAGGGCTGTAACTCCTCTTCAGCATACCACTTCCATTCACTGAGATCCACTAGGATGCTTTCATTAGGAGTCTCCAATTTTGATCTTTAAAGAACCACAGAATGGTAGGGGTTGGAAAGGACCTTTGCAGATCATCTAGTCCAAGGCCTTCTGCACTGAAATTTGCTCTTCTGCTTCTACAACAAAACTTCAGCTTGCTGTTTTTCAGTGTAAGCTATGTAGTAAATACATGATCCTTAAAAAAAAAAAAAAAGCTGGAGCCTCAAAGACATTTTTTGAGAATCACCACCAACATTGCAGGCATACACGGCAATTTTCTAAAACTGTTTGTGCAACTGCTTATTGTTAGGCATTTCAGAACACATAAGAGCAACTCAAAATACAATTCTTTACATTAGACTCCAATGCCTAGCACATAAGCACCTAAATATACAGTAGGTACTAAACACCACAGCAACAGTTTGACTAAAATGTCTATTTGTGAAACCTAAAATAGCCAATAAAATTTCGCCCAAACAAAAATAAAACCCCTATCAAAGAATTAATTACATAGTACTTGCACAAGAAACCAAATGTTCTCCTTGTTTGATAACATTCTTAAGTGCTCTAATTTCCTACTTGGTGACTGTGATATATTAAGCTTTAAGTGGTTTGATTACTTGACTATTAATAATACAATTGTTTCCTTAACGTTGCAATAAAATGGAATTTGAAATTACCTACTTATTCAGAATGAAGCCACCCACTTAAAAAGCCTCCTCCTTCTCAAGGCACAAACTGCTGTCACAGCAAACTAATTAAAAAAAACTATCTATAATTGTCCTACATTCTGATACTGTGAACAGGATTATACATGCCAATGCAGTTTCTTTGGTACTTTCACTGAATGTTAAAAAAAAAAAAAAGTTGGTCTAATTGTTAAGTGTCATGAAGGGGGCGAATATCTACCATCAAAATGAAAGCTTCTTGAGGGGTAATAAACTCCCTAAATGCTCAAATTAAAATTTAACAGTTCTAAGTTTGCTATTGTCTAAGTGTTGGTCTTTTTTAGAACCACACACAAGCATGAACAAAAAAAAAAAAAAGGCATGGTGCAGAAAATTTCATGTAGCCTTAGAAAATCCCTTAAACTAACTCTGAAACCCTCAAATACTCCACCTATGCCAAAACCCAATGTTTTTAGCAGCACAATGCTTGAAGCCCAACACTATTCTCACACAGCTCAGCTTCAAGTGAGCATTTGTAGGATGCCTAGATCTTTAAAAGAAAACATAATGTATGTACATGATACTATGCGATAGTTTTGCAGAAAATTAACATTGTTTAGTGAACCACCAATTAAAGTTACACACTCACACTCTTCTCCCACCTCTTCCCAAAAAATCCCAATCAGTTACCAGTAGAACAAACACTGACAAGATTTGTTAAAATTAGCAATGCAAGAAAGATGGCATTATCCACACAAATTGGTTTAGCATATTTAGGAGTTACATTAAAAATACAGATAAAGACAAAGAAAAAGCTATTCTCACTTCAAAGAATACACACAGGATATCAAGAACCACTTGAAGACACAACTCAGAGTTAAGAAATTAGAGACTAGTCCAGAACTTTAAGCTATTTCCTAAATTTAAGAAATTATTGCCACAGTTGTCCACTCTGCTCTTCTGCCAGGAGCCACCACCAGCTCCATGGTGCTGGCAGAAGGCTACATCAGCTATGTAAGCGCAAAGCCCAGAGACTTCCCTGAAATCCACTCCTAGCCACAATTCTAATTAAACTGTTGGACTTTGCATTGAGGCAGTGTTATGGATACATGTATTCTTTTTCTGACTCCACACTTGAGACAGGAGCTTTTAACTGAGGGAAGGCAATTTCTTCAAATCACCATAACCTTATTTGCAAAGACTGCCTCTTTTAGCCAAATTGCAAATGTTATGAAGTCTAAACAAGCAATAGTCATCAAGAGCACAGCCTCCATTCATGCTTCTTACTCCAATCTGCCATTTATTACCCTTTCTAGAACAAGAAGTATCAGAGCACCAAATCACATTTACTCTTCTGAGTCGCTTGGAAGAGTCTCTATCACTTCCAGTAGTCCAAGAATAAACACGTTTACACTCACACCAGAACACTAGATGTAAATATATGGGCTACTTCCCTGTCAAAGTTTAAGTTGATTTAACTATCAAGATTAAAACCTAAGTATTAAATCCCCAAATAATGTAAAGTATGTTTCTGATTCTACATTTTTCACTCTGATTCCACTGCCTGACTGACCACTGACAAGACCAAAGTGTAAGAATCTCAATGTAGGATATGGCGGTCAGCAGTTGTACCACAAAGCATTACACTACAAATGGGAAGCAGAGACTTGCACTTGCAAGCATTTTATCTTTAAACTGAGTCAAACATCCTCTTCCTCTAGCCAGAGAAAAAACATCTACAATGCCTTCAGTCGCTGTTAAAACCACTGTGGTTGTAAGCCCTTTACTCCTCTTAAGAGCATTTTATTCAGTCTGTCAGTCGTGTTTCTAAATCGAAGTGGTTTGTAGTTCACTTGTCCCTGGGAACACCACCCCTGTGACCACATCACATTCCTCATTTACCAACTTTCTACTTTGATCACTGGCGACTGAAAGTCAAGCAGCCAACACAAAACTACATATAAACTATAGACGCAGAAAAATTGAGAATTGACCTTTTAAATTCAAGACTAATAGATGTCGGTTGTCAGATTGAGATTTCCAAAGTTTCCTGTAAAAAATACTGTGCTGCTGCTTCCAACATGAATGTTTCCCATAATCAAAGAAAGAAAAAGCTTCTACTGTATTTAACCAATTACTGATACTCATGTTACAAACAAAAGCCAGCTTAAAAAAAAATAAAAATTTAACGAATCCCAGTTTACTACAGGTTTGTATTCCTTCACTCTTCTTTCACCTTTATACCAGATCACAGAATCGCAATCACAGAATATTTGCCCTTTATGCACTATTCCTCTTTCAGGTTTAGTTTCAATTGGATAAGTCGTTGGGGGACATGAAGGGGTCATTCTCAACACAGCTCCTCAAGAAAACACACTAAAAAAACCCGAACTGCATGCAAACCAACTGTGCTTAAACAAACAAACAAAAAAAACCCACACAAAAACCCCAAACAGCTAAACAGTTTTGAGCTGTATGGTGACACAATCCCCAAAGAATCTGACAATTTTTTTTCCCCCCAACGTATTTAATAATTACCCTTGTATTTTAAGCTCCTGAGTAGCTATTATCTCAGTTAACACTTGCACAACCACACCAAGACACAGAACACTAAATTATGATACTGAAAGGTGCACAATGAATCAGTAACTTTTTCAAGCACAAGAAACTACGAGTAAATAGTTTTGCAGATAGGTACACGCAGGGTTAGGACTCAGTTTTTCCACTCCAATGCACTGGCTGCCTAGTCTAAGTCATTCAAGCCTATCCTACAGTTATTTCTTCTCCTTTCCCTCATGTTACTTCCATCTATAAAGATGTAGAAATTATTTTACATTCATTCCCACAGAATCACATTAACTTAGTATTTCTGTAAAATACTTAATTATACAAGTGTAGCTTTTTAAAAAAAAAATTTCAGTAATAGTATACCATTAAACGTCCACTTTTTACCATAAATGTAGTTTGAGAATACAAGAGAATAGTGTGTCATGTTTGCTGTTGGTAATGGCACCTGATGAGAAATAGTCCAGTTCTGCAGAACTCAATAACACAAAGCCTGTCTTAAGAGCTAAATGAATTCTACTTTCTCTTGAATCCTGCAGAAACAGAAGATGGCTGTGAAAGGGAAGCCTGAATTATAAATTAATCACTTATTCATTACCAACTCACCCATGTAATGTTTTCCCCTAAATATTTCTCCATAAACACCTTACCCCATAAATTTGCTTCACCGGTATACTACTTAAATGCCTAGCCTTGTCCAGCTCATTTTCAAATCATAAATTGAAAATTATCACCTTGAGGAAAAGTTTAATTCAGTGCCAGTATTCATTTAAGCATCTCTCCTCCAAGTGCTGACACATAATGTAGAATGCTACAAAAAGCTTCTTTTCTGTGCTACAGGTACAAACCGCTGATGTGATCTCCAGTATAACACATTCTGCTTCCAAACATCCAGTTTAGGTCCTGTGATATACTCTCATCACAACACACCAAAAGCTTTTTACCCTCTTATACTACATAATAAATATGGAGCAGTCTCATGCTCTGATCCAGTCCTGTATTTGAATATAATCCATGCCTTAAAATAAAAATCATTAAAAAGACGCAGTTGAACCAACTGCTGGAAAGTGGAGCTCCCTAACTCCTATCTAACCTAATTTTGAACTAATTACCTACCAACGAAGAAACTAAAGCCTTGCAAGCTGTTTTAATCTGTACGGCATTGCTTTCCTGTCTTCATTATTTTGCAGAATGCAACAGAACTACAAATACCATAGACACTATCTCATCCTGCAGCCAAGGTCTTTTGAATATTTTACTTCATTCATTCAGAGTCATATGAAGAGGCTGGCTGCTAGGGAGACAGTCAAATCACTTCCTTGAAACCAACAGATGTACTATGTTGTCTCAAAGACAAAAATCACTCAGGTTATTTTGAAGTGGATGAGAGTCTCTAATTTCAAGCAGTGAAGATACAATAAAAATTACTGTGCATGTAATAAAGACCTCTGTCATCACTAAATGCATGGAGAACATGGAAAATTGCAACTAAAAAAAAGCTGCATTATTGTGTCTGGTGTGCATACACAAGCAGTGTTAAGGATGAGCAGTGTACCAAGAAGTTTCACAGTTGGGATCCAGTCCCATTGCTGGCTACACTGAGATGGGCACTTCGTGTCATTTCTCAGGAAGCTCCTTCAGTCTACGACCACGAATCAAATTCCATTCACTTTGGTAACAGCATTCGAGAAAAACGTGGGGGTTAAGATCTGTCTGTACATACAGCTTGCGGGGATGGGCAGGTGGGTGGAAGCAGGCAGGGAAGAGCTGAAGCGGAGAAGGAAATACCGAATGCAGTCTGCACTTGCTTTGACCTTTTGAACCGTAGTCTTACAAGAGAGAATCTTCAAGAGCCACCGGCTTCAACCCTTACAGTCTGCGTCAAGAGGACCAGAATCTGATTCCAAATAAATAATTACAGGCAGACAATAAAACTAAACAAGCACCAAAAGACCAACCTACAGGGTTTTATCGTTTTGTACGTGGGGTACAGCAGAACTGCAGAGCACAGATGCCGCAAATCGGCCTTTCACAAGAGGCAGCGACGCACCCGCCTCAGTTACCGAAGACCGGCCATTATACGGCAATTTGCGAAGCTCGTGGAGTCACCA